CGAAACAACGCAACTTATTCAGTGCTATCTCTTATTCTAGGGAGCTCGCATGATTATCACTACATCAATGCACACACTGCGCAATATATATATACCTCTTAGTTTGCGTTCCCAGTGGTCAAACTGCTTTAAATTTGCTTCATAGTGTATAGCGGTGCACATTGCGATTGCACACTGCAATCAATTCACAACCGGTGTGTCAACACGACGCTCCAATCAAATAATTCAAAAAGCATGTTTGCAAATTTTAATCTCGGAATATAATGTTCACTAACACTGTGATTTTCGCTAAAGAACACTGTGTTAAAGTGCAGGCTGTCAGACAAAATCAGAAATATGATGCAGCTTGCGTAAGGGGGTGTTGTTCATTTAAAAATTGTGAGCCAATATTTGATTACTATTTGATAGAACCACAAGACAAGTGAATTCAAGTCATGAATCGGTTAAATGCACCAACAATTGGTGATTCTTCAGAAGCAACACAAAGGCCGTCGACAAAGCTGAATAATAACGTAGAATATTCCAATGGGATAGGCATCAACATGTCCCTCAAAAACTACAGGTCTAACATCTGTGAGGTCATCTTTCCACCTCTTCCGGACTGAGTACGTGCGACCATCAATGATTGGAAGGAATTTGTACACAGTTGTTTTTATCCTTCAAGCAGAATTAAAGATATGACAAACGCAGGGGTTAACCGTAATGAACTATGTCCATCCATAAAACTTGCATACAAAAATGGGGGATGTTACAGCTGGGTAGTTTTCATGAGCAGTGGCGTGAACCGAGTGTGCTTACTGCTGACGACTGTCTTGTATCGCTGTAGACACATCTAATTTTTTATTGGGATGTTGTTAACGGAATCGGCTTATCCAAGATAAATTTAATTATGCGTTTTGTATACTCTATTATACGGATTTCCCATAAGTTTTCTATAACGAAAATAAGACAGAAATAATAGTGTCCTCTCACTCCGAATGTTATTGCATATAATATAGGTGCGACCAATGTTTCCATGGATGCCAGTTCGCATACGACTACGAATGCTACAGAAAAAGGTAGGTTAGTGGTTGTAATAAGTGTTATTGCCTGATACACCATACCTCTCTGAGCATAATCTTGTTTAAGTTGACCAAACAAATAGATGAATTTGCTAGATCACTAGCCGTTATGTGTACGATGCCAATAAATTAGTATTTTAATTAATTCATCACAACTATATTACAACCTGCATAGGTGAGATAGCAATCCAGAAAAAGACCAGGCGATCGTTTCAGCAGACTCGGGATCGTCAGTACTGCGCACTCCTGAGGTATTCTGCTGGGGCTCGTACCCACCATCTCAGTTGTTTTGCACCACTTGCCAACATGTTTTGCCACTGAGTCATGGGGAGGAAAGCCGACAGCCACAGACAGAAACCTAAGCGCGATATAGCCCGACACACCCTCATGCACTATGTAGGATACTGCCCGTGCAGAAAATTTTAGTTGGCAGTCTGGGACAAGACTTCCTTTGCCAGCACCGTGAATCTACAAATATTTCGACTGATGAAAGGGCGTAACTTTTGGTTACTAATGTGTCGACGGATAATATTTTGATTTAACTTCGTTCATTACAATGCTGATTACATTCTAATTGCGTTGAATCAACTAATGCCATACCCTAAGCCGTCTAGTCAGTAAAAACTTTTATTTATACTCATTGTAAATAGCACATAAAAACAATGTGATTAACATTATAATAGCACCCCAAACACTGAAGGTATCCAGTCTATTCGATGCCATGTTATTTAATCTTTTAATGTGCTTTAAAAGAGAACAGCCTTGGATTTTGCTGACTTACTAGCACCCGAAATTTTTATTGGGAATTAAATCGAGGTGTTTCAAATAATGCAATTTCACACGTAATGCACAGATATATGAGAAACACTAAATACCCAAAATATATGCAGCTTTCAAAAACGCCTGGTCTAATTGTCAAGGTACATTGCATTATAGGTGCAAATATACTGCTATTAGATTACTGATTCCAACTGGACAGGAGCTTTCCTTTAAGTGCTTATGAATTAAATATATTGTTTCAGGAACTAATTTCCACTTAGCAGCTGTAAATGATAATAACAATAATACATATTTTTCTTAATGAGAGAATCTTTGTCTATAGCGCACAGATCAATTTGTACAGACGAATCCATGCGCTTGCATGGATGACGTATATAGGTGAAGTATACTGATAAGCGTTTTATTTGTTAACATTCAGGCGCATGGTTGAAGCCAAAGCCTAGTTATGAAAACATTGGTGTTTATAGTTTTGGGTCCACTTGGAATAGCTCATCGAGGGATATTTTCCGTGTGAATATAGAGCTTGGGATAGTTAGATTAAGGTAACTAGCGAGTCTACTTCTACATTTGGTCACATGGTCACATGCCTTGAATGTTATTGGTAGTTTATTCTACAGATAGCTGCATCTGAAAAGGAAGAAATTAGAGCCGACGTTCATTCTAACTTTCCGTATATTTAGTGCTGCGAAGCGCCGGACTTGAGCAACGTTTTACGTTGAGTGCAGGCAGGTTGAAATAGGTCATTTTGTATAACATGTTGAAAAGCAATAACAAGTTGTTCTTCAATCGTCGAATCCAAATTGGTGCCAGATGAAGTTCATTGCAACGTTCTTATAACTCATAGCAGAGTGCTTACCAACCAGATGTCTAGTAAATGACTTCTGCAGTTGCTCCGCAGCAATTCTGTCACTCTTTCTCACATTTCCGTATATTATGATGCAGTACTCGAGGATGTGTCTAGTGAGTAGCTTGAAAAGCACAACTCTTACACGAGTTGTGTGTATGTTGTTTGATATATTGAAAATAGGCTGTCTGGCACGTGCTACTTGGTATTGGGCCTGTTCTGATAAATTGAAGGTAGACGAGTACCTAATTCCAAGATCTCGCGTGGACAATTGTGTAGGGACGCGTTCATTGTTTAGGGTGATAGATCCTTCTGAAGTGCAGCAGCCGTAAGACATCATGCTTTCTTTCTTAGCCAAGAGGTTCATCACCCATGTACAACATCGTGACTCAAAGGGATGTAAATCATCTTGAATGAGCAGTAATATCCTGTGAAGCTCATCACCCTGTAGCTTATAGACTATTTTGATATCGTCAGCAAATAACAACGATGTACCATGTTTTACAAATGTGGTGATTTCATTGCTTCAGAGCAAAAATAATAAGGGACCGAGCACGCTCCCTTGAATGACTTTACTGGTGTTTGAGCGTGGGAAAGTGCGATAATCATCCAAAGTGTTTACCTGATGATGATCACTCAGGTATAATGATAGCCAACCTAGTAATGGGTTCCGGATCCCAAAGTGCTCCAACTTTTGTAACAGTCCCTTGTGTGGTATTTGATCGAACGCTTGGTGTATGTCAAGAAACAAGATTGCTACTGTATAGCTGGAATCGACTGATTCTGAAATGTGGTTAAGGTAATGCAGTTGACAGGTGGTACACGATCGCTTATTAAGAAAACCATACTGCGAATAAGTGATAAGGCCAATAGAAACAACAAAATATATCATCTCTATTCTGGCCAACTTTTCCAATGGCCGAGCGATTATCGGAGTGCGGTGCATTAGTCTGTAGTTATTAAACGTTTGTAAGGGAGTTCATTTATGCCGAGGCATAACAAATGATATATACCATTCGTATGGATGGTGGCAAAATTCCAGCGACAAAGCAAACATACTCATCAGTCGCAATGGTATATCAGGCACTCCACTGCTAATGAAGGTTTTTGTTCAACCGTTAGAAGGCGATTTCCCATTAAAAGAAACCGCAAAGAAGTCATCCTATGCGGATGCTGTAGCAACAGAGTTAGCAGAATTATGTAAGTCTCGGAATGCTTTTTAAGGAATTGGATTTTGAACACGTTTTCTTGCAAAATGCTGAATATAAGCATTGTTTCACTTTCAATCGTCTCCGGACAGCAGTTAAATCTTAGGCGATGGTACTAAAAACACCGTAAATTTACCTTCTAGCTCAGTAGTATAAAACGAAAGTAAGTGTATTGACCTAGCCCGTTGTTTTACGAAAACAATCCTTCGAGGGTTCCGTCCTCACATATGCGCAGTAGAACGCATAGGAAATCCAGGCGGTCACCTTGTTAGATCTTGTTGATAAATTACAGTGAAGGATGTACTTGGTCTATTGGGATGATGCCGTCCACGGATGAGTCACAGAATATGAACGTGTCATCCACATAGCAGTAGTAACAAGTTAGTGAAGCGGTACTGCTTCCCAAATGCGCTCTTTCAAATTTTGCAAGAAAGATTTCTGCCCTGAGTGGGCATAGAAGGGAACCCAATGCGACCCAATCGATCTGTACGTAATAAGTTCCATCAAACAAAACTTGTACATTAAAAATGCTACGTAAGATCAATTCCTTTGGTTGCCGTACCGAAATTCTAATGTTTTAGTATCCCTCGAAGAAGTAGTCACAAAAAAATTCAAAAGCTTTAATAGAAAGACTTTAGTGAAAAGTAATTACACGTCAAGAGCAGTAGCAGATTATCGTTTACTTTTAACTTCTATCCTTATATAAAATAATTTAAGTGTACGTCTCATTGTGAAGAACAATTCTTGCGCATTGTTTGGAGCATTTCTGTTAGACATCTGGCGACTGCATTGTATGGAAAAGAGGTTATATCCACTATGGGTCTCATATGAAGATTTGGTAGCCCATAAATTTGAGGAGGATATGATCCGCAAGGTGTTAGTTTGGTGAAAAGTGAATTATCCACATGCTTTCAATCTTACGATTTCTACAGTAATTTTATGATTTTTGTTTCCTTCAGTCAAATGCTCCTTTTAGCAATTATCTTGAAATTTACTCTAGTCGCACAGAATATCCTTCATTTTGGAGACGTAATCGGATTTGTTTATTATTACCCAGACTGACCATTTATCATATAATGAAATGATCAGATATCTGATATGGTCCTGGTGCTTTCTGTTAGGATCTTAGATGTCTGGGTCCGGTCCCGATCTTTCATCTATGCCCATTCACTTGCACCTGTGCTGCAAACTACCTTGGACATGAAACCAGGTGCTTGTCCAAATGGACTGCTGAGTGCTGTCCTGAGTCGCAGCAAAAGGGCACAGTAAAGAACATCAAATGTTCCATTCTACAACACATGGTTGAAACTGGTCATGAAGCCCAGATGAAAAAGTCATACAAAAAGATATGTACAACCAATCGTTATTATCAAAAAGGCTCAAGAAACAGATATTAATCATGGCTGAGAAGATGGCTATCAGCGTATAACACCAGAACTAGACAAACATCAAACTCAGGCACAAGATATGACGTAGATTTGACCACATGTTAAAATATTTAGAATATTCTTTCCATGTAATGAGCTTAGGTACAAAAATATTTTTGATAATGAAAACAGTAACCAGCATTCTGTAGCTCAGCAATTTGCATACGTTTTACGTTAATCCATAGGTAACGACAGCACAATAATGAATTCATCCTCAACAGCCACTACAACTGCTGTGACAACAACCGGTAAGCTACAAGTGTATTTTGTATTTGAATGCTAGCTATGTTTGCCTTTAACGTTTCGATTTGCCTGCTAACTTATTTGAAGGTTTAATTGAATTATCCGGGCTATTAGGAACCCGATATGACACCGGAAAATTAAACAAATTATCTCAGCATAAGATAATTTGCACAAAAGCGCTTAACCAACAATATTTTAGTTCATTTTGGGTTCAATCCTGGCGTTGTAGGGGGATAAAAATAAAGGCATTAATGCGCACTCTTACACTCGACGTCAGTACATGAATTATAGCCTTCCGATGCTAGAAGGTCTGATATTACCGCTCTGTATGATAGTGCTGCCAATTTCCCAAATTTATCCAAGTATATTTGCATTCTAGGCTACCGTACCCTAACAGAGAAGATCCAAGTTACACCTTTGAAATAAGCCTGATTCTGATTGAGCTCAAGTTGTCTGAGTTAGCACATGTAGATAACCGAACTTCCAATAAGGATGTTCAGATGAAAAGTTGTTCTACACAAAGCAAAGCGTCGGTGTTAATCGCACCCTTTTATGCCCAGAATGAAATGGACTTTAATTTGGCTCAGCGAACCTAGTCACCAAAATTGCCCCTGAATTAAGCGAAATTTCAACAGACAGAAATTAGAGATTATTTGACTCTAAACCGAAATGTTGTATACTATTGTGTTAAAGAGTTAGTGTTTTCTGGCTTAAAGCAGCAATTAACATGTGGCTTGCAAACTCCTGGTGAGCGAGCCAGGTAGTTGAGCAAAAGCGTAGTACTGCTTGATGCATGTAGTTTAAAAGTTTCGCTGTTGTTTAATTAGCATCCTACGTGCTGCATAATTCGGTACTTCAGGAACAAACGGTTTACTCTGCAAGGCAGGATCAGCACAATTACAAAATAAATAACTTGTGGAAGCCTCGATATACATAACTACGTCACCTCAATCACTAATCGCGCTACTGCGTGCATGGGCTTCCGCTATGATTCAGTCAAACAAACTCGATCTAGCCATGCCGTATAAGCGCCAACCACGGTATAGGCAAAGTAGCGCGCACTCCCAGTCATCTGCTTCATTTGATTGTGGCACACCAGCCACTTACTTCATCACAGAAATCTTTTTGTGCTTTTCGCAGAATGTTTCTCTCCTATTTGAGTTTAAAGCCAAAGCATCGCAAATTGTAATTCTATCGCGAAAACAGTAAATGTTAGTGATTATTTTCATTGCTAATATCAGGAACAATCAAATATATTTAGCCCGGATGTCTTACGTTAAGTTTTATTAGGCATATACAAATGTATATCGATCAAAAGCCCACGAAACTTTAAATATTTTTCCAAAATGCATAATTCATCATAATTCAAGGAACAATATGAAATCAATCACTACTGCTGGACATTGTTCATTGAAAAGTACCGCATATGGAATTAATTTGAAATCAATTTTTTAAGCTGTCGAAGAGCATTCGATGGACGCTATAAAAAGAAACGTTTGCAATAGACTTTGCAGAAATGTACAGCAAATAAAACCATCCCTAGCATCAGAATGTATCAATAAATACTTTAAAATTTAGATAATCTAAACCTATATATATGCCATGCACATATAAGGAAATAAATGTTCAAAAAATTTAACAAAATGATTTTTGACGTTTGGCATATGATTTAATTAACCATTCATATTTAAATCTCAATTCTAAATTAGAAATAAATCTTTGAAACTTGTACAAAAACAACGAATTGACAATGGCGATATGTAATGAAATGTGTAGTCGCAAATTTTTAAATGCATGTTTTTGTTTTAAGCTCGGTTATATTAACTTTATATACAAAGTGCGACTTACCAATACGATTTGTTTTGCCTTATTTATTTTATAAATTATTTTAACTCGCAGGTGTTTCAGCCTCAGTGAACGCATCAGACATAACATCTAACGCAACATTTAATCGAACTGAAAGTAAGTAAAACCATTCTGGAAGGCATGAACTTCAATAGTAGGCCTAATTTAACTGTGATACTGCTTGCCCAAAAACTTCGCCTGTCGCTGAAAGGTGTCCAGCTAAACAATAAAGTAAATTTAGGTAGATGTAACATGAAATTTGGTTTGCGGAAAAGTATAACTTGCATTCTTCATCAAAATCTGGTTGGCAAAGCCTGACGGACATACATATATAGCGTGGAAAAGCTTTCCTAACCAAATAACTAGATAAACAAATTGTCAGTAGTATATTACCTTTTGTTAAATGGAATATTTATAAACTTTGACGTAATAATAAAAGATTTGTATATATATATATATGTTAAAATCTGTCATCACTTTGGTCCATGCATTTCTAAACCTCCTTTATATAAATAAATTGCAGATATGTTAGATTAAATAAAGGTCTATGATGGTCTTACTTTAATTTATGATTTTTGATACACGCCAATGTGTATGCGTCGACTAATGTTGTTTGCCTCAACATTCATGAAATTTGCCCTCACTTTACATAGATCACCTAATAAAACAAAATTTATTTTTAAGGGTCGTTACAGAAATAACTGAGGAGTTTTCACGAGTATTGTTTCTTTGCATATGCTAAAAGCTTACAAACCGAAAATCGTTCAATATTTGTTGGCTAGTATATCTTACTTTCAATTTGCGGCAGTAAGCAGAAACTACCGATCAGCTAAATCATATGTTCCTAAGAATCTCCATTCTTATTTATATATGTTCTCATAAAGGTACCCTCAGATGGAACAAAATGGAAACTTGTATACATAAACAATTATATTTATTGTGGCAGCTACTACGGATGCAATATCCAAGTGTGGCTGTGTAATGCAATCATAACAATTGAGCAAACTAATGCATTGCAAACAGAGCGGGATTAGCCATTTTTCACTTTTGGGTTTCTAGCAAAACGTTTTTCCCATGTAAACTGGGAAAACAGTAATTTTAACGTAGTCGGGTAATCCAGATTTTTGCCAAAAAAATTCAGAGTTAAGGGAATGGCAGGCCAGCATCTAAAAACTGCGCCTACAGCTGTCGAAAGAGGTAAATGCTGAATAATTATAAGAGTACGGTTTAGAACTTCACACCATTTGGCAATGTGTCAGTTTTACTCAAAAATTCTGTTACTATGTTTCTTAAATATACGGTTACTTAGTAACTCTATATAGAGTAAGTCGTATCTACTTGGCATTTTAACAGTAAGGAATGGTCCTACAAACAAGTCTATACAATTGCATGTGTTGTAAATGTAAGTTGAGAACCCTCGTGAGAAACCAAGTATGTTGACACATTATTAACAAAAAAGATGCGTAGATACCAGGTGTAAATCAGTTGTAATAATGCATCGTTTTTGTTAGACATAACCACTTTCGTACTCCACATATTTTCAGCAAAATACATCAATACTAATAATAATTTATTGGTCTTTTATTCTAAATGTAATTTACCACATATTCTAAAAGACATATTTGGTCAATTGCAATATATCATTCCGTTGCTTATAGAATTATTTAACCCGTAGCATGCAATTAATTTTAGAAAAATGACCTATACTTATGTTAACACGGTTGATTTCCTTGAGCAGTAAAATATTGATAGATTAGGAATTAGCCATGTCAAACACTTGCAGTTCTTAATTTGCTTTAGGATTTTATGTTTAACGGAAATGCTTGGCTACTGAGTTTGCTTGGAAAATGAAAAATAATCGGCACTACTCTACATTTTGCTTACACTGGAAACTGACAGTAAACCTAAAGCCAACTTGGGCTTCATAGACATTGCCACAGCTCCGTCATATGTTGGTTTATTTCTGCGGACTTTCTGTGGACATACGAAACGATTGCTTTCTCTTTCTCAAGATTTTTGTGTACTTTTGCAATGTTGCTGCTTGCAAATTTCCTGACAACGCGAAATCTTGCGCTTTGAGATGTGCATCTTTTCATTGTTTTGTTCCAACACAGCTTTTACGTACAGCAGCGGCATTAAACAAGTAGCAATACAATCATTTGGGCATTAATCAAATCGTTAGTTTATTTTATTTGTTTTGCCCTTATGTATGCATATGCGTAAACGGGCTTGTTGATGGTTTTATCTTGTGATTAGAGGAACAATTGCTGTTTAGCTTTAGCAGCCCTTAAAAACAATAGATAGGTTGAATTGATGTCCATATAATCATCACTTTTCGAAGCTAAGCACAAATTTGCCTTCAAATGAGTTAAAGCTTCAAATTCCGCAAAACTGGAGAATCAATGTTTTATCAATGTTGCTCAGAAGGATATTACTCCATCTCATACAAGGTATATCAATCTAATTGTTTAGCACAACGTCGCTTTAAAGAACCTGAGGGTATTAATGTTGTATGGGTGAAACAAGTCCAAGTAAATATCTCGCAGTCGGGCATATTACTGTGGAAATAAATAGATAATGATTAGTCGCCTAACCTTATTCGTACGTTATTTTTCACATCGTCTATTAGTTTTTTTATTTTTATACATACTACGCTAATGTGATTAAAGACCTTGTAGTCAACGTGACATGTATTAAAGTTAAACCATTGCGTAGCCCAACATTTTTGCGCAAAAATTACAACTTGACCATTCTATGCAGTAAACACAAGATTAGCAACACACCAGTGACAATAATCCGACAAAGCAATCAAACTTGATTAAATAACAGCGGCATCCATGTAGTAAACATATGGGATACTTGAACTAAAGGGGAAGTGAAGTTCCTTAAACTTGCACGCAAGAGTACAGGGATATGTGCACATATTCAGTCGTAGTCATAGAAAAACTTATGGAAAATGCTGCGTGGTAGGGGCTACTTCAATCACCGAGAATGATACAACATTTTTGTACAAGTTTCTATGACTCACCAATCAACTGGTGTTTTACACAAGTGCCATGGAAGATACGTGAAAAACATTATGGTGATAAGACTTCAGCGCAGGCAATTCAATTAGGTAAAAATCAAAAGTCAATAAAATGCAAACCAAACTCGTGTAAAATAAAGCCGCATGCTCATGCAATTAGGCAAATTTTTACGTAATCGAATAGCGTAGTTGAAAAACAACGCTTAGTACCCGAATGTGGAACGCCTTGCATTTTCACCATGTATACATATTTGTTTTTCTTGCGTAACATGTGTATGGCATCGACGTCCAACAGTGTGTAAACGAACACTTTAATTTCGACAACTTTCAAATTGCAACAGAAGTATTTGGCTTAGCTGTGGGTTGCCTATGACGTTTCTGAATTCTGTTAGGGATATGTGATTGGATGAGAGATACCAGCTTTATATCGTGCGCAATTCTCGATAGAATGACTATCTACTTGACTGTGTTTGTGGTAATATAAGCGCAAACTAAAACTGGACACAAACATGCATAAGAAACAGTGGTTTCTAATGATATGCTTTCTCCAATTACCAAACAACATTGGATTCACCTAATAACATAGGTCTTCAGTTGTAGAAAAACGAAAGTTAAACACAACAGCCCATAACACCAAGCAAGGACGATGCACAAAACAGCAGCTAAACGATTCATCTATCCTTCCTCGAAACAATTTCACATGGATTTATATTTTATTATCCTGAATATAGAACCGCGTTTTACGCAGAAAGCTATTCCGCCAAAGATGGACTTGTAAATGCAACCAGTGAAAATTTTAGAGTCACCGAGTAGATATAAACAGATTTCTTAACAAGCATTACCATCAAAACATTTTTAATTCAACGGACTTGCAAAACACTGACCGCATTTTAGTAGTTGTTTTCAGTATTGTCGGCAAGCAGCTTGCGCTACAACAGTTATCAGTTTTCCTGTGTCCTTAAAAGTACAATGTATCCTTTGCTTTAGATACAGACTGAGACAGAAACCAAACAAATTTAACTTATAAGGTATCAAGAAGTTATCACGACGCATTATACGTTTGTTGATAATTAAATAAATATGATACTTCTCCAACTAACAATCTAAGTGCCAGAATAAAAATACAGTTGGGAATGCCGTTTCTATGAGTAAAACACAAACATCAGCTACGGTTAATTTTTCAACACCTGGTGAGTAAACATATAATGGATAGTATAAATAACATTTGTGAAAAATGCCAATAATCAAACAGTTACGACATAAATGCATGGCAATAAAATAGCCTTCTCAAGTCCATTGATGTTACTGATACGACAAAAATCCATTGTATTGTGCACAAGATATGGCGACCAACTTTGATCCACACGTTTGAGATAAACGATGTCGTGGGACTATTATGTTTAATTGTTGCGTAGTTAAATGACTAATAGATGCATCAATAAGCCGTTAAATACCATGACTATTTTAAAAAACACGGCAGCCTTTGCTACTCGGAAGTATAACACATTATATTAAGTAGATGTAAGTTTATTATATTCCAGCTCAACTGTACTTTTATCTAAACTAAACCATGAACCCTAAAAATGTAGTCACCCTACTAGAAGACGGAAGTCACGGCCACACATTTAAAAATTGATAACAACACCTGAGTAACTTTTAGGATTTAAAAAGTAAAGTCAAGTTACATCTATTCAAAACACTCTGGTTGTCGTTAGGCTCTAGCATTCATAGGTTCGATCCCCAGTAGTCGACCGAGGGACGAGCACCACTGACGAGGTCCAACAGAGCGAAACGCGCGTCTGTTAGGTTTTCGAAATGGTAACTTCATTATGCGGCTTGGAATCTAATTACGATGAAGCAAATAGAATCATTTCTGAATTCCTCCACTCATTAGTAAACTCACTTTTATCGGAAGTGTCTGGTACAATAATATATTAGCCTAAATATTCTAGTCAGACAATAATTTACGCTCTTCCCATATAAAGGTAAAACATGATATATATATAGTAAAGCAATCCTTTTCGTTTACAGCTGAAAAGCAGACATTGGTAATTGACTAATTCAATCAATCTTTACCAAATTTTGTTTGGCGTGAGAAAGGGTAGTAGTACAAATGGCTTCCGTTAGTCACACCTTTTGGACCGCCATTTCCTTAATGTCCCGATTTCTTTTTTGTGTCCACTGCAAACTGGTGGCACCTGTTGACAGAGGAATTTGCTAATCAGCTGTAAAGCTTAACAGTAGCATTGCTCATGTATTCACCACACTCATTACTGTTTACAGTAATATGTTTCTAAATTCAACATACGAATATTATTTTATAAATTGCAGGTGAAACAACAGTTTCTTTCGGTACAAGTACGACTTCCACTACCGTTGCTGTATCACCAACAAGTAAGAGAAGTTGATATACGTGTTATCAATACCATATATGCTGGATGTTTTTGTGTACATGTTTGCAGAAAACGGACCAATGGATACATTAAACTGCTCTCATTTGCTTTTGTAATAAAAACCAACTGAATGGTTGGCAACTTGATTGCCGGCTTATATACGTCAATCATAATAGTGTAGATTAAACCTTGATAGCATTATATAGTATTATCTTGTTGGTAGCACCTGTGTTTACCTGGAAGTGTAAGATTTCGTAGCCAACATAAAAGTTGCGTGGACAAAATATTTTGTTCCCGTCCCTGACAAGTTCCCAATTAATGTTCAGAGTGGGAGTTTTGTGTCAGAATTGAGTACATTCACTTGAGAATGTTGGTAGCATCGAGCGAATTGTTTCCGCCTGCCACATTCGGCGGATGTTCCACCGCCCGCCAGATTTTGATCACGATACTTCAGCTGTTGCGCGGCGCAAAATTTGCATGTTTATTGTGTCTTGGTATCAGGCTTCCCAGTTTTATTAGGTAAACTAAATACGGCACATGGCACTGCATTAGACTGCTACAACGTTTGTTGGATGCGCCTTGTGGCTGACGATTCATTAAGGTGTATATGGAGACGCTTTCTGGGCAATCGATGTCGTTGCTGCAACGGTCGTTTGGTGATGTTGTCACCATTGATCCAAAACACCATCCTATTTCAAAAGAGACTGCCGGCCATATAATTGCAAACATTACAGGAATGAATTAGATCTCTATCTCCTTAACACAATTCTCGACAGATTCGTTCAAGAGCCTATTTCGAGTAACAACGAGGTACCGCTGATAGGTCTCGTTAGTCTGTCCCTCTCTCACACTGCCGTTTTTGGATGACGATTTAAAAACCAGCTGACTCTTCGTCTTTTTCGTAATTTATCGTTTCTTGGACACAGCTTTTTCCATCGCCGGTCACTTGTCGTAACATCGTCAGGTGATACGCCATAAGCCACTCATTTAAATGCACCAGTACGACAAAATTGATTCATTTGCTTTTCTAGATACTCCAATAAGGGCTACGTGTTAGCACGGCTAGCTGCGCAGTCTGCAGCAACTGAGCACTGTAAGGAGAACGTGCCTTGTTGCTGTCTGACATCAGGTGGCAGCACCCGGTCTTGCAGGCACAAACGGTTTATTCGTCAAAGCAAGCTCTGCACAAATGACAGCATGATTGGCTTGTAGAATCCATGATGTAAATAACCAGGTTGGGATTTAACTAACGACAATTCTGCTTTCAGGTGAGATTCCTCTACTGGTTCAGTCAAACAAACTCATTAAGCCCTGCAAATAAGGACCAATCATCAGATTGCTGAAGTTGTGTAGGCGTCCGATCATTTGCTTTCTTTCGCACGCGGCAAGCAAGCCACTTGCGGCAACATGGAAATACAAACCTCTTCTTTTTTAATAATCCCACAACACAACCTGTAAACTTAAGTACTCCATTGAATACTTTAAATGGGTTCATTGGTCGTGATTAAATCCTAATTTCCAGCTATGTGGCAAGTATTCTATACAAACGCACTCCATTTTATTTAGTCGCAGAATGATTTCTTTCCATTCTGGACGGTGAACTGGTGCTCTGCTAATTGATTCAAATCAACATCTAGAGATCAGCTTGTAATCTGTAGTGTATTGCATTTCTGGTTGGTATAAACTAAGCGCTCTAAGGATTCGCATATACACCAAGAAAGCTCAAAGTGAAGTTATCGGCTAAAAAGGATCACAGGTTCAGTAGACTTACAAATGCTATTGAAACGCAACATATTGCGACTATTCGCAGTCTAGCTACTTAGTCTAGAAGTACAAGAAATCCTGGAAATCGGGTTATCTAGATAGCGCGATTACAAATAAATTATGAATTGGTATTCTTCCGCACTTTAATATACTACGATGCTAAATAAAAATGCGCAAGTAGACGAATAATGAGATTCTTCTGCACGGAATCACGGCTAACCGCGAATAGATTTCAAAACATATGAATAAATTAGAGACATGGAACTCACATTAAATGGATTGGTAGCCAAATGTTTACCCGTTTAGCCACCGGTTGACTCACCTTATTCATCTGCGCCATCACTTACGGTTCGCTTTATGGCTACTCCTGGTAAACCTAAAGACTGTGAATCGTAATCCATTCATAAATCGAGTTATTAAGATGCCACCACGAATCAGTCATTAACCGCAGTGACGCCTTGCCAGCCGTAGCTCAGTGATTAGAATGGTAACAGTTCTGAATATATCCCCAAAGGCATTGATTTCTAGGAACCGCTTGGCCTACCTCACGGAAACAACTAAATTTGAATCTGTTCATGAAGTAAAGCGATCTTGGGCGAACAACAAACAACAACAACAACAGCAGTACATCAGCCGTTTGAACTGATGCTTCACTGCCATACAACCACGATGATTTACGAAATAAGGTATAATAAGAAGGGGGAAGAGGGACTTACCTGAAAACCTTAATGCATTAGGCAAACATTCAGGACCAAGGTGCCTGCATCTTGTGTAGACAACATACCGTCTCAAACAGCTGGCTATCGTACAAAGATAAGGCGGCATCGGTGAGACAGCTTCCTTCCGGCTTACACTGCCACGCCTCATAATCAGCGATTACCTCGCCGATAACTCAGCACCAAACAAACTAAAAGCCGTCAATGCGAATAGGAGACGGCAGCAAACGCACCACTGGCGTCGATTGTGAGACATATCCTGTAAAATCTCGAGCCAAGCACAAGGCTAGTCAAGTGGACTCCAGCCGAGAAGGCGAGACGGACCAACGGCACCCAGTTTGGTCTTCATTGACTTCATTTCCAGCTGCCAAGTCAACTTCTGTCCACCTCGATCCTTGCGCCACCCTACACCTGGTAGACTGAACAAGGCCCTCCTAGGTAAGCGGTGACCAGGCATATGTAGCACGTGCCCGAACCAGCGCAACGTATACAGTGCTATCACTTGTTCTAACTAGCTAGCATGATTATCACTACCTAGTACTCGCCAGCACAGAATGATTTTATGCAAGCTCGGTCATGTATTACAAACTTGCTTGTAACTAGGCATGTGTACTTGATGGCAAAATCTCTAACAAAAAGACGTTAGTGAAAAGTAATTACACGTCAAGTGCAGTGGCAGTTAATCGTTTACGTTTAGCTTCTATCCTTATACAAAATATTTTATGTCTGTCTCAGTGTGAAGAACAATTTTTGCGTATTGGTTGGAGCATTTCTGTTATCCATCTGGCGACTGCGTTGTATGGAAAAGAATACATGTCCACTATGGGCTTAAAACAAAGTTTTGGTAGCCCATAAATTCAAGGAGGATGTGAGCCACAAGGAGTTAGTTTGGTGAAGAGTGAATTATCTACATGCTTTCAATCTTACAATTTCTACAGTATTTGGAAGATTTTGGTCCCCAACTAAGAGCTTTTTGGCCTTTATCTTAAATTTTACTGTTGTCGTTCAGAATTTCCGTCATTTTGCAGAAGTAATCGGATTTGTTTAATAATACCCTGCCTGATTATTTATCATATAGAGAAATGATCAGCAAGGGGTTCGACATCAGATATCTGATATCGTCATGATGTTTTCTGTTAAGATTGTAGATGTCTGGGTTCGGTCCGGATCTTTCATCTATGCCCATTCACTTGCACCTGTGCTGCAAACTACCTTGGACATGAAACCAGGTGCTTGTCCAAACGGACTGCTGAATACTGTCCTGAATCGCAGCAAAAGGGCACTGTAAAGAACATCAAATGTTCCATTCTACAACACTTGGTTGAAACTGGTTATGAAGCCCAGGTTGAAACGTCACATAAAATGATATATACCACAAATAATTGTTATCAAAATTGCTTAAAAAACAAATATTAATCATCGCCGATGAGGTTGTGATCAGAGTTTTGGGACTAGAATTAGGCAAACATGGAATTCAGGTCATTATTTAACAAAGTTGGAGTACTCTTTCTTTTTAATGATGATTATGCGTTCTGTAGCTCAGCAATTTGTATACGTTTTACGTTAATCCATAGGTAACGACAGCACAATAATGAATTCAAGCTCACCAACCACTACAACTGTTGTGACAACAACCGGTAAGCTACAAGTGTATTTTGTATTTGAATGCTAGCTATGTTTGCCTTTAACGTTTCGATTTGCCTGCTAACTTATTTGAAGGTTTAATTGAATTATACGGTCTTTTAGGAACCCGATATGGCACCGGAAAATTAAACAAATTATCTCAGCGTAAGATAATTTGCACAAAAGCGCTTAACCAACAATATGTTAATTCATTTTGGGTTCAATCCTGGCGTTGTTAGGGGGATAAAAATGAAAGCATTAATGCGTACTCTTACACTCGACATCAGTACATGAATTATAGCCTTCCGATGCTAGAAGGTCTGATATTACCGCTCTGTATGTTGGTGATGCTAATTTCCCAAATTTATCCAAGTATATTTGCATTCTAGGCTACCGTACCCTAACAGAGAAGATCAAAGTTACACCTTTGAAATAAGCCTGATTCTGATTGAGCTCAAGTTGTCTGAGTTAGCACATGTAGATAATCGAAATTCCAGTAAGGATGTTTACATGAAAAGTTGTTCTACACAAAGCAAAGCGTCGGTGTTAATCGCACCCTTTTATGCCTAGAATGAAATGGACTTTAATTTGGCTCAGCGAACCTAGTCACCAAAATTGCCCATGAATTAAGCGAAATTTCAACAGACAGAAATTAGTGATTATTTGACTCTAAACCGACATTTTGTATAATATTAGGTTAAAGAGTTAATGTTTTCTGGCTTAAAGCAACAATTAGCATCCGGCTTGCAAACTCCTGGTGAGCGAGCCAGGTAGTTGAGCAAAAGCGTAGTACTGCTTGATGCATGTAGTTTAGAAGTTTCGCTGTTGTTTAATTAGCATCCTACGTGCTGCATAATTCGGTACTTCAGGAACAAACGGCTTACTCTGCAAGGCAGGATCAGCACAATTACAAGATAAATAGCTTGTAGAAGCCTCGATATACATAACTAGGTCACTCCAATAACTAACCGCACAACTGCATGCATGAGCTTCCGCTATGATTCAGTCAAACAAACTCAATCCAGCTATGCCGTATAAGCGCCATTCACCGTATAGGCAAAGTAGAGCGCACTCCAAGTCGTCTGCTTCTTTTGATTGTAGCATACCAGCCACATTCACCCATTTTCGTAACCAGCCGCATTAGCATCACTAAGGATTCCGTACGCTCTTGCAATCCACTAGTTACTGCTACCCGTGTCTTTGTGATGTAACAGAAAACCGTTGCGTTCACTCCTTCAAGTTCAGCTCTCCTTTCTCCTTGTTGCCTCATCTGCATTCAGTTCGATCTGATTATTTAACCTACAGCATTGAATTCACAACGCTTGCTGTCGAAGTTCGTAGTCACCATACATTTTCTCCATCGCTCATTGACACCCGGCATCCGTGGAATCACACTTCCTCTTTTACTGTGAGCTCAATAATGCCAGGATCCCGAGCTAGTGGTAGAGTTTCCGACGAACAACTGGTTTTCTTAAATTAATTTGCAGTTGCTCATTCGTTGGCAACTAGAGGTTTATAGGTTTATTCAATACAGGAATAAGTGTTTCGTCATTCGTCAATCTGAGCGTCCTAGTGGAAAATCCAACGGCTTTAAAATCTACATTAGAGAACGGTGCCACTCACCCACTCACTACTACCACTTTGAATATCCAATTGAAGAGCCGGATGGTTGTAGAGGACTACTGATACACAGCTGACGGGCTTCTTAATGAGTAACAAGGCAGCTCCCTGCTCTTCTCCCCAACTGCAATTAAAACACGTGTGTCAGCCCCCGAATGGGTGTCATGATTTTAACTATCATTGGTAACAACTGGCTCAAATCGAGCACCATGGCATTTGAAAGAGTAACTGCTTTGATGACCTAACTTTTAACATCTTTACTGCTTTGTTTGTTTTAATATCAACATGTTTCCTTAGATGTCAGAACCTGCCCTTAAATCTCATTTCCTTTTGCCGTGGCACGAGAATCTCTTTTTTCAGTTTTATGATACTTTAAACACAACTTTGTAAAAAGAAGCACAGATTGACATTAAGTTCCTGGGTGGGTGAGCCATAAATTAACACATCGTCTGCTCCACATGTTACACTATGATGCTCGTCAACAGCTTGTAATCAATCTCCCTTAAAATGTTTACTCGGAATCTACAGACTAAACAGTAAACTTAGCCAGCAATATGCCCCGAACACTATGCCAAACTTCGTCAGGAAACTGGTTTCTTCATTTGGTACCACATGCCAACACGAGAATGATAAACTGGAAAAGAACCAAATCATAAAGTAATGGGATAAAACAACATCAATAATGCGGCAAACATCGCATTATCCCTCAATATTTCGACATTGGAAGGAAGTTGCTTATAAAGGACATTTATAGCAAAGAAATCTCCTGGACATATAGATTGATTGTAGAAAGACACGACCATGACTGCTATGAAGTGGACGCAGGCAATAAAAGATGTGATTACTACGTCAAACAACTCAGGGGATTTACACAAAATTTAAACCGGGATGTGTCAGGAGGATGAGCTAACAATTGATGTAAGGAAATTTACAAGGATCCAACTCCATCCGTTTTCCACAAATCAAACAGTGAACTCGCATAGGTTAAACGAATATTAGCGCAAAAGCTGACAGTACTACTAGTTATAACTAAGTGAAGCGAATTGATAAGGTTGTGGAAGGATGCTAGGAATAAATAATCTGCGCAGGGTGAGGCTTCATGTATGGCTGCAATTAAACCGTGTCTACGACTTTGCCTATTTGATCAGCCAATCGAGGCTAGCATATTTAGGCGAACAATCAGTCAGAGCTGCCGATCCGATTTGGTTGGCCACAAAGTTATTGGTCAGGTAAGGTATATCTCATGTGGTGAATCTAAGTATTCACCTTCCATATTCACTCACGGATTGAGTACTTTGTAAGGAAATACTTGTGTCCCATCGAATCAATATCCGTTTCAGTTCTCATTCCAAGACATAACGGTAATGTACATCAATATTTCCTACCAAGGAAAGGGAACTTGTCTTTGATATCTCAGCACTTTATTATTGTTTGCCTTTAGTTCATAGGTAATGACAGCACAAAATTGAATTCGACCTCAGCAACCACTACAGCCTCTGAGAAAGCAACCAGAAGAATTCGAGTTTATTGTATACGTCAAAGGCAACTAGGATGTTTTTGAATTCATTATAATAATAATAATAATAATATAATAATAATAATAATAATAATAATAATAATAATAATAATAATAATAATAATAATAATAATAATAATAATATTATAATAATAATAATGTTCATATAATAATGGCGCTGTTATTGTGATAAACATGAACGAATATCTGCTTGCTCTTACCCTCGAAGTCAGGACATGAATTTTAACATACGCCTGCTATGAGGTCTGACATTTTCCTTCTGTATATTTCTGTTGCCAATGCTCTAAATTTAGCCTACATTATTTGGCTTCTAGGGAAGCGTTACATGACAGCGAGGATGACTGTTATATTTCTGAAACAAATGTGATTGTGCTAGTGCTCAATTTACCTGCAATTAAAAGTAGCTAATCAGAGTTCCATTAATGATATTTACATAGATGTTTATTTGACCCACATCAAATTGTCGATCTGTTGGGATCTTCAAACCAATCGCTAAACCTAGCTAATATGATCCCTCGCAAAGTTTGGCAAACGTCGATAAGAAACGGAATTCTTCGTACAGGCCAAAGTGTCAAGCCTCTGACGAACAATTACCTTTGTGAAATACTTTGATTTAGTCAAACTCGGCATGATTACTACTAAGGTTTAGCAGCCTACGGTGTTCTCTGCATAAAGCTCCAAGCAAGTGCTTGGTATCTATGCACCTATTCAAATCAACCTGCATTTTCTAAACAAGCCCAACTTCACTAACCCAGTTTCTCAGCTCGTCGACATGAGCGATTACGTCCAATTAGTTAATTTGCTGTTAAACTCCTCACGTAAAGCAAACCGAACCCTTCCATCAGCATAGAAGCTGGTCGTATTTTTGGATCCATTGAAAATAAATGGAACATCCAAACCTCTATAATCCTTTGCTGAACAAGTACGGACACTGTTCACAAATGTCGGTCTTCGCTGTACACGCATGAACACAACTTTCAAGATTAAAAGGCACATGTCGTAGACACTGGATGGAATCAAGTCCGCAAATCTGCCGGCGATCTTCCGCCAAGTCCACGAATTTGAAGTGATGTACATGGGCCATCTTTGGAATCGAATATGTGATTGTGATCAATCCAAGTAGCTTGAAATTGGCACCTTTCCATATGCACAGGGATCCTAATCAGATCACAACGAGTTCTTGGTCACCGCCTCGCTGGTATTTTGTAGATGTTAGCGCACGATTTCGTCACCAATAAATAAACTTGCGTAGATGCACTGTTTTATTCCCATCCGGAACACTTTGCTGACTGAATGTTCAGGGTCGGAAAGCTTTGTGTCACATTTGGGTGCAAGCACCACGGAAGATTGGCAGCATCGAGGGAAATGATTTCGTCTGCCACATTTGGCGAAATTCGACCCCACACTGAACATTACTCACGATCATTTGGGCCTCGCGCGGCCCCGATTTTGCAAGTGCTTGTGTCTTTGTAACAGGCTTTGCAGTTTGTAGACAAGTAGAATATGGCACATAACTCTGCAAAATATAGCAAAGGCATTTCCTGTATGTGACGTGTAGCCGCTGATATACCAAGGCATATATCAAGGCATGGTCTGGGCGATCACTCTCTTTGCCCTTAACAGCCGCTTGATGATGTGTTACTCTTTGATCACAAGCACGATTCTATCTCATAGAATACGGTTAGCCATTAAATTGCAAAGTTACTGGAACGAGCCAGTACCTACAGTTCCGTAGAATACTTCTAGATAGATTCGTTAGGGAGCCTGTTTCGAGTAAAGTAACTAGAAACCGTTGATACGTCCCATTTATCTGGCGCCCTCAGAACACGCCGAAATTTCAGATGGTTGTTTCCATAG